ATGACAACGTGATGTTCGAATATCTTCAAACACCCCCGCCCCCCCGCACCGCGACCCAACACACGTTAAAAAAAAAAAAAACATCCTCTTCATTAATTTTAATCTTTTATTAAGCTGCACTCAACAGTAGTACAACACAACGACAGTATCTGCAGAGATGCCAAGTCTCACGTCTCTGGCATTCACGTTCCTGTGCCGTAGCCAGCAATTATTCTATCAACGCGCACTGAAGAAATTCACTCGCGGAATTTAAGTCATTGTTCATTAAGTTAATCAGTTTCACGTGCATTACGTTGAATTTCCCTACTAGTGACACGGAAATTGATTATGGCTCGGGAATTCTCAGGCTTGTCTTTACTGAGGGATTGAAACTAGCAATGGAATTGCAAAAAGACGTTTCAAATGGTCTTATTTCATTTAAACAATTTAAATGATCAGGAAACATGCATGCATTGTTTCCAATCTGAGTAAATAGAAGCACAAGAAGTCATAATCGCTTTCCATGTTACTAGCGGTGACCCTCCACCTTTACGCAAGTGAAACTGATACTTCAATGGACAAGGATTTATCTCATTAATAAGCGTTCATTGAATAATTGCGGACTACGGCGAATAAGCCCAAAAAATGCGCGAGACGTACCTACTTTAGACTGCATGATGCACTGGTAGAGGGAGTATTTTGACTTCGAACGTCTCATTTCAGTTCGAATATGAACTTTCACCCTCAGGTTCGAATGAATGTTCGAATTTCAAATAAAAAGTGACAGCCCTATCACCCACCACCACCCCAGCTTCCACCTGTCTGTTTAGATCCGCTTGTGTACTCGGGGAATTCGGTGTCTTGTTCATAGGTAGATATAACTTCTCCCTGTATTCACTTAGGGGTCTATTCTCCCATTTGCGCCTAAGTCCTTTTTTACGCGATTTGAGTTAAGCGCTTTTGAGTTATGCGTATTCTCCCCTATGCGCTTCGATCACGCCCACAGCGCTTAACTTCAGAATGTAGGCAGCCTCATGAAAGAGGTGTGACTAATCCTAAAGAGAGGCAGACTCTGTACCAAGCTCATTGATTATGGCTATCAGGAAAACATGGAACAAGGATTTTCTGATTAACCATGAAAATGCAGTTGTAGTCCATGGAAAACGCAAACCAGACTTTAAATTTGAATTTGCCGCTGTAATAGTAGGCCTATCTATGTCTGTGCCAATTACAAGAAGTAATACAGGCATCTCTTTTTTTATTTCTTATTCTAGCCATCATGACATTAAAGCTATGCACACAAACAAATTGCCGCGATAATGAAATAACAAATAAAGAATTTAGCGCTTCTCAACTAGCGCAATCAGAGCATTGAAAACGTGCCCCTCCTACACCAGCCTGTTTGTTCCGTGGAAGACAGGGAAGAGGACAAATAAAGAGAACATTCTAGTCACACAAAAATAACAATCAAAGACAGATTATATGATCTCATTTAGAAATTGCGCACTTGAAATCTCAATCTACTCCGATGTCAGGTTTGCAACTAAAGGACATGGCAACATTTTAACAAACAAAGGATTCTTACCCCGCACGCGGTCATCCGCCCGCCCCGAAACCGCCCCAACAATCACGAAATTCCGTATCCATAGCCTATTATGTCCCATTTGATTTGAGTGACACATTCACTTGAACTTGTGCCTAGTACTTTATTATAATCAATTATCCCATTTACTGATAATGATTCTTCCCATGTCGGCTATTCTTTATTGGCTAAAATTGATTAACAAATGGGTAGTGCTTTGGTATTGGCTACCCACTACCCACTACCCACAAGGTGTTGTATGGCAAGGGGGCACTGAAGGCTGATCCCAGGAAGAAAGCTGCGAATCGTTCTGGATGTGGCTTCGGTGGGGAGATGTAAGCGCAGTATCCCCGATTGAAAGCATAAATGGAGAGAACTGTGGGGCGCTGTAAAAGCCAGGCTCTCTGCACACTGGAGAAGTGTGCACGCAACCATGGGTGCAGATCCCGGGGGGGGGTCTGTTCTGGAAAACATGAATTGCCCCCCCCAATAAAAATACCCTAAATGATCAAGATTGAACAAAGTCACTTTTGTGTCCCCCCAATCTTGACATCGGATCTGCACCCCAGCACGCAACAGGTGCTGGGGAACCATCATCCCCTGTGCATTTCACTGCACTGGAGGGAAGGTGGCATCCAATCTTTATGAAGTGGAAGTGCATGGAGAAGAACTTGGAGTCGATACGGATGAAGGAGGGTTACGTAAAATGGTCATTTTTATTTGCCTATACTCAAAGTATCATTGTGATAAATACTGGAAACAAGCTTAATATGGTTTCAAAAATTTGTTGGCATTTCAAGCAGTTGCGCGTACATAGGCGTCATGGGCCGAGCCAGGGAATTTGGCGCAGATGCTTAATATGCGCTATCATGATCGCACACAACCTGAACATTAATCCTGTGCCGACGTCTACGGTCTCTGTACACATTCTCATTAGTGGAAGGGGTTCTGATTGCAACATGAGTACAATCAACGGCTCCCATAACACTGGGGAACCCGGCGACCCGGTAGAACCCCCCCTTTACTCTCCGTCTTTCAGCGGGAGTTTCGGGGAACTTTATGAAATGGCTGATGTGGTGCAGCATAGCGTCAACGAACTGTGTCAGACACTTTGACACAGGCGCCTGTGATATGTGCATGACATCACCAGCCACTCTCTGGAACGACCCAGATGCCAGGACCGACAGCGCAGTTGTGACCTTGATGACCACGGGTATGTTTTGTGGATGATTGCTGCGGCTGGATAGCTGTTCATCCAGAAGTCGGCAAAGATAGATGATTGCATCACGGTCCAGACCAAAGCGCTGGATGCACTCGGTGTCTGTTAGTCCCAGGATGTCCAAACGAGGCCGATATATGCGTGGTTGTCTTCGAGCTCGGCGCGCTCCTCTTACTCTTTCCCACTCACGCAAGAGTGCAAGCAAATGCAGGACTGGCATTTTGGTTTTAGATTTTGAGGGCATGGTAGAATGATGTTCTTATGTAAACTCGTATTAATTAATTGCTATGTGTTTGTAATTGAACTAATTGGAGAACAGGCTGTTGCATAATATCATGTGTCGATTTCGTTTGATAATTTATTATGGTTATGAGAAATGTAGTTCAGAAATAAGGATGAACAATCGAATATTGAATGTCTCAACCTTTATCATGTCAAATAAAATAAAAAAAATGTTAAAATTCGGCCTATAACCAACATCAAATGCAATATTCTATTTCGCCTTATATTGGCGCTTGACCTTAATACAGCCCTCTAAAGTGCTTAACAGAAAAAGCACGTAAGCCAGGGGGAGAATACCCGAAAGTGTTATTTGCCTGAGAAACGCCCAGATTTTGGCCTTGCTCCGCCCGAAGTGCGTAACTGCTTTCGGGGCGCGTAATGCACAGACTTAAGTCAAGGGGAGAATACGCGTAGGCTGAAAAGCGCGTAGCTACGCGCTTTTTTCGACTTACGCGCATGGGAGAATAGACCCCTTAGTGCACATATTGTCCACAGAGTACCCAAAGCAGAACTATTCATGGCCAAACTAAGCTAAGTTCAATATCATACTCAATAAATGGCTTTCATTTTGATTAGTGAGTTGTCCTGACTGAACTATGGTGTTGGACCTACAATGTATTCATTATAGACCAAGGATAATGGATCAGCTTGAATACATCAAAATACTTGAAGAGACTATGTTTCATATGCTGAGGAGGAAATACCTCTGAAATGGGTGTTTCAACAAGACAATGACCCCAAACACATAAGTAAGCGATCAACATCTGGATTCCAGACAAACAGGACTGAGGTACTGAAGTGTCCAGCTCAATCCCCTGACCTCAACCCCCTTGAAAACTTGTGGGGTGACATTAAAAATGCAGCTCCTGACGCATAACCCAAAAATTCACAGGAACTGAGGAATGTAGTTTGCTTCATCCTGGTTGCCAGAAGTTGTTTGACTTGATGCAAGGCAGCAGATGAGCAGCAGTTATCAAAAACAATGGTTATGCAACTAAATACTAGTTCAGTAATTTAAAGTGAGGTTAAATCTTGAGTTCAATTTAGTATTGAGTTTGAAGAGAAAATTGATGACACTTCTTTTTATGAACAGAATAATATTCCTTTTCTTTGCTTCCTGTAAAAGAATAACACAGACTTGATCAAATTTGTTAATGCTTTGATTTGGAGTTGAACGTGTAATTTTTCCACATTTAAAATATGGAACTGAAGGCCATTGAAAAAATGTTTGCACTTTATTCACATTTTTTAACATACTGCCATTTTTTTAAACACCACTGTATAAGTTCTGGATCGCTGCATGACTGCAGCAAGAATGTATACATCCTCAGTAGGGAAGGGGTTTAAGGGCCTAATTTAACCTAAAACAAGCAATTGACAAACACACACTCCAAGAGAAAAGACACTATCCGCATTTACCGCTAGTCTCTAGTCTCACATTTTCTCTCTTCAGTACAATGCACCGTTTCAAATAGGTGGTGAGATGGAGAAAATTAGCCGCGGCTCTGATCTGTCTCATCGCTGCGCAAAATTAGCAATTGCTGTTTACGCTGAAACGTGTCAATACAGGGCAGTACTTTGCAAATAACTCCCTTTGTGCTGTCAAAAGGTGTACAGAATCAAAATAGGACATTCTAGAAAATTTATTTGGAAAGGCACTACAGCAATTTGGAGACAATCAGATTTCACTTTTTGCTAGATGTTAGATATAAGATAAGATGCACTTTATTGAACCCTGTGAGGTAATTTGTCCTCTGCATTTGACCCATCGTATCGTTAGGAGCAGCGGGCAGCCACAGAGCAGCGCCCGGGGACCAACTCCAGTTCTAAAGCCAGTTCTCTGGTCAGGGCCACTGGTAGGAGTGTTCCTATAATGCATGTTATAGGAGGAAACCCACGCGAACACGGGGAGAACATGCAAACTCCACACAGAAAGCCCGCAGGCCGGATTCGAACCCACGACCTTCTTCCTGTGAGGCAGTGGTGCTAACCACTTTGCCACTTTGCAATCTGTAATTGAAAACAGAGACAGGAGAATTAATGTATTGGAGGGAATAAAGTATGTAATTTTCCCATGTTTTAAATGGATTTTTACCTGTTGGGTATTATTTGCACTGTTTCACCATTTTTATCAAGGGTTCCAAGAATTGTGGTGCTGATTGTATGCTGGTATTCATCCTTTAAGATGAAGTGCATGTCATCTAATTTCAATGAAAGCCATAGTATATTGCTGAATGTATAGTTCAGAGAGCTTTTTTTATCATCAGTTAATTGCTTCAGCAGCCCTCTCTTCTCTTTGAAGGGTACTTGTATAGTTTTATACAATCAAGATGCACAACTTACAGACACTAGCAAATCACTCATAAGAAACTGCCTTCAATTTAGGTGATGGACCCGAGGGGGGCTCTGTGTACCTACTCAGAGGTTGCCGAGAAACACTGAGCCATAAAATGAAAACCACTTGCCTACTATAGTGAAGGCCCGCCTCGTGCTACCTAAACAGCGCCATCAAACTGAAGTCACTTGAACTCCCAAAACTCAGGGTTTTCCAGCAGAACATTTCTCCCTCCACTATCTGCTCTTCTTCCCACAGTAAATCCTAATGCAATCTCTTCCCAGAAAAATGGCTCACACGTACTCAGCTGAAGCACATGATGTACACTGAACAAAAATATAAACGCAACACTTCTCATTGTGTTCAGAAGGTCATTGTACTTTCATTGAGTGTTGACAGATTGTATGTCCATATGGCAACACATGTCAATCAATGATTTAAACAGACAAACAAGAATCTCTTGATGGCATGAAGATGGGGTCTATTGTCCTAATTTCACAAATCAGTATTGGGAATGTCTGCCTTTGCCCTGCTGCACTGCTACACATCTCTGCTGTATGGACTGTAACAAATGGTCAATGGTGTCTTGGGGGACATGTTCCCACTTCTCTTCAAGAGCTGTGCGGAGTCGGCGTATATTGGCCGTAAATGTAAACCACTGAGGAGCTCAGTTGACTGGTTGAGGACATCCCAAAGATGCTGGAGAGAGGACAAATCTGAGGAATAAGCCAGCCATTCAAGCACACAAATGTTTTCAGGCTCAAGGAACTCTGTGCATACAAGGGTGATGTGGGTCCGGCATGGTCATGCTGGATGGTTATTGTTTTGAAGGAAGAGCGGTAGGACGAAAGGCCGCAGTATCTCATCCTAATATCACACTGCATTCAAGTTGCTGTTAATGAAATGCAGTTGGGTGCAATGTCCATGGGATATTCCCACCCAAACCAGCACCCCACCACCATGTACTATCGTGTGCCACACTGTCAGCATAACGAACCCCCGTCCATCTGCTCAGTGAAGTTGGAAATGTGACTCGTCTGTAAAGAAAACAGTCCATTGTGCCATTGGCCATCGAACGTGTCTATATACTCAGTCGCACCAATTTATCGTCGAGCTGAGGTGTGGTCCAATCCACAAAGAGCAAAAGACGCAGAGATATGGACTTCCTGGAGATGACTTTTCACAGTTTAGGCAAAAATATGGCGATTGTGGGCACCAACCGTCTCATCTGCAGTGGCAGTTGCTGGTCTTAGACAGTCACAGAGATGGGGAGACGAGATATGGCGGTCTTGGGCGGGGGTCATCACGCGTGGTCGTCATGCATGTTAGCGGTCTGCTGTCATATCTAATTCCTCAAAAAGGCGTTTTATGTGACTCATTGTTGAAACATGGACATTAAGAGCCCTTGCGACAGCCCTGATAAACATTCCTGCATTGCCACAGGCACGCTCCCTGATGGCTTCAGTCATCTATGGCAACTTGAACAATGGCAGAACTGGAATTTTTGAGGTGGCCTTTTATTGACCAGAGTACATGATGTACCTGGGCTGACTGTACCTGATTTCAACAGCTCTTGATCAGGCCCCACCTGTCTGACAGGCCAATTTTGACAAAGGGCACGAATTTGACAATGATCTGGAGAAGGTCACTGAAACACACACAGACCAGTGGCACACAACCTTGGTCACATAAATAAACCCAACTAAGCCAACCTCAGAAATAATTATCCAGAATATTGAAAGGACTGAACTGTTGCGTTTATATTTTTGTTCAGTGTAAAAGAAAATGGGACTCACTGGACCAGGTGACCGTCTTCAACTGCTGCAAGGTCACGTTCTGAAGCTCAGATTCACATTAACAGGCGCTAGTAGAGGTGGACTGGGGTCAGGGTGGGTGCTTTGACTGGTCTGGAAGCCGAAAAGTGCAATACACAGCTGGGTACGACATAGTGTGTTGTGATACATTCCTTATGTAAATATTCTTGAAATTCTCAGCGACTTGTGCCACAGTCACCATTCTATTGGTTTGAAGCAGATGGGATAGCCTTCATGGCCCTCGTTCTTCAATGAACTTGGGCGCCAAAAACTCTGAGGCTGGTTCATGGCTTGTTCCTCCTTGGGCCACTGTCAATAGGTTCTCATATTTAACTAGATGTATGTCGATGGCGCGCCATCGCAAATCTCCGCGCTCCGCAATGAATGTTATGGGAGTAGTAGTAACGTGTCAGAGGGCAATTCACTGAACTGGCATTCTGCTGTACAAATGCAATCTGCTTGTTGCAGTGACAAAGCACTGATACTGATCAGAGTTATAGCAATGAGATATAGTTGGTTAGTTGGATAGAGTACTTTTTGAGTGTCGGTTGAGGGCATAAATTACTCTTCACTTTGAAAGGATAGTATTACGAAAAGAAAGGACGTACGGTACAGCGAGAGGCACACCTGACGCCATTTGACCTAGAAAACGGTCAAAATTAGATCAAATCAAAACCCCGTCTGATATGTGATGAAGGGTCATCCCATGCACCTCTCATAAAAATTTGAGCGTCCTAGCTCAATTGGTGTAACGGCCTAGGAGGAGTTATTGTTTCGGACAGACAGACGCCGAACTGTATTACAAGATCTCCTCGCTTTTTCAGAAGCGCGGAGATAATTAAAAATTTGAGCGTCCTAGCTCAATGCATAAGGTAGATATGGCCATTTTTCTTCTTTCACAAAAAAGCCCCCTAGTGGCCAAAATATGAATCACGGGATGGAAATTTTTGGCATGCAGGTTGCTATCAACAAGATACATACCCATACCAATTTGCAGCCTTCTACGTTGAGTAATAACAAAACATGCCATCCTTTTCAATGTTTGGCACACCTGACGTCATTTGACCTAGAAAACGGTAAAAATGAGGTCAAATCAAAAACCCGTCTAATATATGATGAAGGGTCATTTGAGCGTCCTAGCTTAATGCATAAGGAACTTATGGCCATTTTTCAATTTTCACAAAAAGGCCCCTGGTGGCCAGAAGAGGAAATTAATTTAAATTCTAAATGCATTGTGCACCCCTCTGGGTCACAACCTTACACACACCAAAGTTTCTGGTTGATTGGTGTAATGGCCAAGAAGGAGTTACTGTTTCGGACGGACGGACAGACGGACAGACAGACACCGAACTGTATTACAAGATCTCCTCGCTTTTTCAGAAGCGCGGCGATAACGATAACAGGAGGCACCCTGCAAGTCTTGCAACTTCAGAGATGCTCTAACCCCTTAGTCAAGCCGTAAGGATTTGGCGGTCGTCATAGTTCCCATTTCTCTCACATCCAACATGATGAATATAAGAACTCAATGCTCGCTGACTATACAAGTTTTGTCTGCAGACCTTGACATGCTATTGTTTTGAAATAATCAACATTCTTTGCTGAATCTGAGAGTGGTTTTAATTTTTTGGCTCATCGATGCATTGCCATATCGATAAAGACAGAGAGGTGTATGTTCTTACCATACACTTTGATTAAATACAGAACAGATTATAGCAACAAAAAAGAGGAGATAACTGTTGCTGTTGAAATAAAGAGTTTTAATTACATTTTAAAATAAATCACTATTTTCCATAACAAAATTAGATAATATGCACAAAACAACGTATGTGCTTATCTTCAACAACCTTAAACCTCCAAGCATGGCTCACAACTATTGAGTAGTAAACAATTATATCTGATAGCCTATGTAATATGTCAGGTAAAACAAAACAGCCTAAAAGCTATGTCAATTCATATAATCTTATTACACTTTCTTTGCGTTGCTGGAATGTAACTTTTGATTTAACCTTCTTATTTTTATTGCATGTTATTGAAGTATGAGTGCACCAGTCAACTAGAGGCATAATAGGTCATATGCACTAGCAGCACCTAAAAACCGAGAAAGTGCACCTTTTTCTGAGAATTTCCTATAAAAACTTAGAATACACCGCGGTTCACTGAAGATTTGAGGCCAACTCGGAAAACCTCGGAAGTTTACTTAAGTTTGGACAACACCTCAGTAAACCTCGGTGAAATTTTCCCGAAACACACCGAGGATTCTCTGGCTCACTGAAGCTCAGAGACCATTTGTTGTTCTTACTATAATGGTGGTGGTTTACCCTTTGCCAATTCCTGTTTGCAGTACTGACAGAGCAGGCTGAACTAAGCCTGCACTTCATCTGGACTGCATCTAGGGTCTGGCTTAATTACACTGTAACCTCGTTGAACAGGCAGTACTGGTAATTTGCATAATGAACTGGTGTATGGACTGCAGTACTGGTGGGAGGTCTTCAACGAGGCATGTGTTTTGACTGTCTTCACACCTCCCCTTTGTTCTGGTGTGAGCATAGGCCTAGCAGACAATCTTCGGTCTACCTCGGTGAAATTTTCCCAAGGAATACCGATGTGGTCTCTGAACTTCAGTGGGCCAGACAATCCTCGGTGCGTCTCGGTAAAATTTTTCCAAGGTTTACAGAGTTGGCCTCAAATCTTCAGTAAACCTCGGTGTATTCTAAGTTTTTATAGGAATTTCTCGGAAAAAGGTGCACTGTCTCAGTTTTTAGGTTCTACTAGTGATGGATTTAAATATTTGAATTTTATCATCTGGCAGCAATAGATTGATGTTAAATTGAGGAACAGATCATGGTTCATGTTGTCTA